TATATAATATATAATATATAATATATAATATATAATAAATGATATATATTATATATATTATATATTAGCTTATAAATATAGGTATGATGTTTATGTGTAACATATATATACATATATTCATTTACTTATTTATAATACTTACAGGGAACATTTCAGAAATTATACCAGAGGATGGGAACCTGGGGACAGATTTTAGCCCAATGGTGAATGGTAAACCAGGAAAGGAGAGGAAGCCAAGCGAAACCGAGCTTCCAGAAATGGCAGAAAATGTCGATAATATAGATTACTACACGGCGGTAAACTGTTTTCTCTTTTGATGCTGAATTCTGACTTTAAGCCAACTTTTGAAGCTTATCAAACACATTGCTGTAACTTTGCGGTTTATCAAGCTAAGTTGAATACTCAAGTCTAATTTCCTCATCTCGGAGTAATAGATTCTGAAAAAGCAGAAACCTTTTTTAGCAAGCTAAACACAATAAAGTATCACTATCTCACTTACGTAAAGAAACCTATTAAATCAAATAGCCTTTTTAAAAAAATTTTAACAACAGAGTCCCTACGATAAGTTATTTTAGTAACAAATAAGTTTACAACAATTTCCGCTTGTGTAGTGAATCAACACGATTTGTTGTAACTTACTCACATTTACCTAACTATAAGTAGCATCCAGCATCTCACATTTAATAAAAAGCGGTTAGTAAGAATTAAACCACTCGACACATACTGCCAAATATTTCAAAAAAGATGAGCAAAAAAAGTATCCTTCCCGTACGAATCTAATAAAAGTGAAAGACAAATATAAAAAGCTATGTAGATTTAAAACTAAACCTTGTTTACTGCAACTTACTGTTAAATAATTTGAAAATTTTTTTCAATCTGCTACAGTGCCGTATTCTCAGAACCTGGCAGGCAGTCTCTCTGGCACGGAAGTAAAAACAGTAGCAGATAAAGACTACAATATCTCTAGAAAACTGTACAAAACGTCCATCAAAAACAAAAAAGTTTTCTTCGCCTGAAAATTTGAGAGTAGCTTAAAAATACAACTGAAGATATCAATCAGTTTAAGAGACTGTCACCCTTAAAAACCCTAATGAAAACAATATTTAGGTTGAAAATGGCGAAGACGAAAGTGAAACTGGCGAAGTTGAAACAGTTATGAAACCGGAAGAAACAGTAGCCGTTCCAAAAAGAGTTGAAAAAACAGTTACCGAAGAAGCAAGCATGATGCTCCCAGAGATTTCTGAATCAATCGACGAAAGTATTACGAGCATGTCCAAAGCTTCTACTGTTTCCAGCAAAACCGTCATAAAAAGCCAAAAAGTTACAACACCTAAACCGCCTAGAACTTCCAGGTACAACATCAAATTGGCCATCAGCAATATTCGTTAAACAAAACCGCACCAAAAACTTAAGCCAAGCAAAAAACTTTTAGAATGCTTTAAAATTCGGAATGAAGCGGCTTAGATAACGGTTGATATCGCAGCTTACGTGACTTCGAGCCCTAATTAACACCTATTTACTAGCATGATAACAGAAGATTATTTCTGTGTTATAACCATATTTAATTCACCTCCCGAAGAGCTTTTCCATACTTTGCAGAATCCCAGACAATCTAACCTACTCTCAAATAAAACGATTTAGTAAACAAGTACCAAGAACTTCTGCTTTTGTAGCGAACCAGCAGAATTGGTCACAGCTCAATTACAATCATCTGACCATAAGCAGCACTCGATGAGCCGCATTTAGTAATGGGTAGCCAAGTATGATTAGGCTATTAAACATTGATCATCAAATATTTCAAAAAAAAAGATTAAAAAAGTATTCATTTTCCATTTCCTAACTGCGCCATGAGGTTTCTTACACAGCTTTCCCTATTGATCTCAAAATAGCAAAAGAAAAATAAGCAAAAATTTGCGAATTTTGAAGTAAATTTCTAGGATTTATCATGCAGACTTGTAGGCAAGGCAGCAAACAGCAGCAGATAGAGGCTAAGATTCTATTGGAAAGTAGTATAATAGCTATCAAGAATACGAAAAAAAGAACGTTTTTCGATTGAAAATGCGAAAACGACTCAAAAAATAGAATTTTTCAGGCCGAAATCAAACTCAGCCAGACCACACCAAAATTTTACCACACCCAGAAAGAGCAGTACTGCAAATACCTCAAAAAATCGGCAAAGAACAACTGCTGTACCTACAACCACAAGAAATTTTAGACGAGATAACGACTATTATGCTATGTATTATGATGATTAATCTCGAACTGGAAAAAACTGACAGTGGTAAAAGAAGAATTAAACCAACTAATTAGGATATTAGCGATTTACAGTCACTTTCGTGAGTATAAAAAAGAACCATTCATCAAATCGGGTAACTCTCCAAAACGGTAAAAACCTTTTTTTCAAAACCACGTTTCAGAATCAAAAAGAATTTTTATGTAAATACCAAATTACTCAACTACTGATTCAAAAAATGCTAAGCATTAACAATTTAACAAAGCTTTTACCGTTTTGAAATCAATGAGTACTAAAACTGACTCCCAGTTTTTAAAAAAATTGTATAATTTTCTAATACGTTTTGCTGTTTACTTCCAGACTTATTAAAGTTTAGAAATAAAAAGTTCCATATTTACCGCATTTATTACGTGTAAAAAATTGCTGAAAATCCAGTTTATTGCAGCTCTTCAATGTCATTATTCTATGAAGTAAACAAACGAACAAATTAAGAGCTGACAAGGTACAGAGATTTTATGCCAAGCAACAGCATAAACACTCGCTCCGAACAAGTGTAAAAAATAAAACTTGATTGCTGTACTCCTTTCAAGTTTCAAAAAATTGAAACACTTGCTCAATTACTTCATTAAATAATGGGAGAACATTATTAAAGAGTATAAAAAACGCATATAACAAGCCCAATAAAAAAACCTTGGTAATAACAGCAAAAGGAAAAAAAGACTAATCATTTTAAGCTCTCACAATCGCAACAAATTTTGCACACGCGCTCAGCGTCACTAAAACATCGCTACATCATAGAAGTGGACTTTTTTGAAATTTCTAATTATATTCTTGGCATTGTCTTAAATGGACACGATTGTTTGACGTTTACTGTCTTTGGAGTAAAATTTTCTAGCGTTTGTCATGAATTCATAAATTAGTCCTTGGATTTTCAATTTCTACAAGTTGCATTCTAGTTGTATCAGGTATTTCTACGAATTTTTATAACCAAGTAGCCTTCTTTGTCTACTTTGTTGAGATTAAAGTTGTTAATTACTATTTCGCTTTTTTCTGTTTGCTATAACTTCGTCGTTTCAATATTTTTTGCAGTATTTTTGGTAGTGACTGCAGCGAAGTAGAACTGAGCCTTTTATCAATTGCCGTATCGCTCCAAGGGTTTGTGGGTGACGTCTGGTGCATTATGATTATATAGAGGAAGCCAGGTACTTAGTTATATATAAGTTGGTCATTAAGTATAACATCGGTTGAGTTACACTGCTTTGTTGGTTGCAAGGGTTTCTCGGAAAACATAAGACGTCGTCACCTTCGCAAATAGATATTATCTGAGGAGGATCAAGAACTGGGAAGCCTGAGATTCTCCTAGATTACAAATTAGCAGAGCGAAGAGAGTCAATTGTTGGTACTGCCGTATGTAAGGGCTAGCTGCATTCACAGTAAAAGGTTTTGCATCATAAGAAAGACTAATTAGGGTGTGTAGGATAAGTAACTGCAGTAGCACTCTTTCAATTTTAGGCGTTGTCGGTTAGGCACAACATTGAGTACTTGCAACGCTCGGACTATCGCGCTGCCAAACTGCTTTACGCGGCTTATTAGGCTCAGATACCACAAAATTATATAGTTGGTGCGCTCCTGTAGAAAGGAATCAGTAATCTCATTGCAAACATACCAAATATAGAAAGTGTTTGGCACCCGTGACGAATGACAGCCCCGGCGCGTTGATTGGCTAGCTGGTTTTTGGCGAGGAAGTTCAGAAATGGAGCGGTGGAGGGGAGAGCGACAAAGAGAAGGGGGCGGCAGCGGTGCCACCACAATTTCTCTATCAGCTTATATACATGTTTATGGGCATATTAAAACGCCCGCGGGGGTGTGGTGATGCGGCACAGAGTCAGCGCTCCATTTTTCGTGTTAGCGCTTCCCGTTTTGAATCTGTTAACCTTACAGTGTAACGCTGCTGCAGCTCCTAACACTGTTTATATATACCTCAAAACGCTCGTATGAATACAGTCTACCTGTCGATGTTTTTCGTTTAACACAAATTTTTAGCAAACTATACAGTAAAATTTGTTAGCAAATTCTTGATTATTGGTACAAACAGAACTGTGTACTCACAAAAATGAGAAAATTTAAACAAAGCGTTTCTGAAGCCCAAACAATATCGTAACTTTAGATTCTTCGTGCTTTGTTTTTTTTATAAAACGAAGAGAATTCCTCTTTGGGAAGGCTTGAACGCAGATCTCAAAAAAGAACTTTGTTTATTACTTTTTGTTGTTAACCATTATGAGAAAGAAAATGTGAATTGCTTACCCTTGAAAGGGTAACATTTTTTATTGTTATTCGGTGTTCATATACCAAGCGGTTTGATTCATTTCTGTACTAAGTATTCAAATCTGCCTGTAATTTAAAGGTGAGTAAATTAAAAGATTGTTGTTAAATTTGTGCTATCCAAGTTAGGATAATTTATCAGTTTCAACTTAAAAACCAGAACCATATCAAAAATAATGTCGTGTGAAAGTTGTAAAATACGTGGGATCCGCGTGGCGGCTGTTTTTTAGTGTGGGAAGCAGCAGTTTATCAATTTCTCAATTTTTTGTTACAGTATTGGTCTATGACTGCAGTCAAAAAACAATCCTGAGAAAACAACCTTCAAACAGGAACCATGACTTTAAAAAGTTTACGATTTTTGACACATTTTATATACAATCTCACCTAGTGGTTGAAGATTACCATTTTTTGAAGATTCAAACTGTTTTTTAGAATTCCGACTGGGATTTCCTGTTACAGCGTAATTGAATAAAACCATCCATTGAGTTTACGATTTCTATTGCAAAAAAACTTTTCTAATCATTTATCTTTCCGAGCGAATAAAATTACTCAAGAGGTTATTAAAAAGTAGTGCCATTTAGCTCTTTCTTGACAAATAAAAAATATTTTCATTTGTTATTTCGTACTACAACCTTGAAAAGCGAACAGTTAAAAACCAAAGTGTACATATTAAGTACAGTGTAAGACGAATAAAGAAGACGCAAGATAATTGCAAGAACATACAACAATTGCTATCAAACTATTATTTGTGCTTGAATGGCATAGAAATTTGTTTAGACAAAGGAAAACGAGTCTTAAAGTTCAATTTTCAACATTCTTGCCTAAAACTGCGTAATGCGAGAAAAAACGCTTCTTGTAGCAAAAAAAGTTTTAGTAACAAAAAACGCAGATAAAGATTTGCATGAAGAAGTTATTAACCAAAGCAGCTCAAAAATTCGGCTGTCAAGAGTAGGCCTCAGAATAGAAAAAGGACGAAGTCAGCATGAAGCAGGTGTAAAGCCTTTATAGTTGAACCACACTGGTAGCTTAGTAAGAAACCGCTGGATAGGTTTTTATGTCAAATATTTCAGTGGATTCTCAGCCTTGTTCACTGGAGAGAGCTTTGCTCTAACGTCTATATATAAGGCTGATGAGGAAGACAAAAAATATTTTTTCAAAAATTTTTTGTTACTAATTCGTCTTTGATTTTGAAAGTTTAAGATTTGTATTTTTAATAGAACCGCTATATAAATTTTAACGACAAACTGAAGAGAGTTTAGGGCAGTTAAAAAGCAATAATTCGATTTTTTACGACTGTCAACAAAAGTAACTGTTTAAATGGTCTACCAGAAATTGATGAAAATAACAAGCGAAGAAGATAAAAGAAATCGCATCAGTTAGTAAAAAAGTTTTTTTTTTAATTTTCTCTTTTTTTGCAACAGTGAGATTTCCGTTCTATTCTTTTTACAATACATTAAACAACGTAAAATTTTCAAAATTTAGTTGTCAAAAATTTTTACTGTCGCGAATTAATAATATATTTAGTTTAGTCATTATGACTAAACTTTTCATCAGTTGGTTTTAGTCGTCAAACAATTAACAAACATTTAGTACTACACAATTTCACAAGTCACTCACTAAGTAACATAACCTGTTCAAGTTAAACAAGCAAGATATGTTCTTATTTCACTTAGGTACCAAAAAATGTTAATACTTTATCATCTCGTGCTTTCGTTTTCCAAAAACGTTTGGAAAATGTTTTTCCATTACTAGCTTTAGATTTGACATTTGATACGCTTGTCCAGAGATTATCATAAATATGTTCTGATGAATAATCTTCGTTGTTTTCGAAGAAAGATACATGTCTATCTGCTTCTCCTGGTTTATAGGCATCAAGAACCCCAAGTCGATCAAGCAGAAAAAGCGCAATTACCACGATTATAATAATAACGAATATGATCACTAAAAAGTAAAATTTACACCAACAAAGACTGAAATATATACGTGCAATTTTTTAGGTTAAGGAAAGTAGACATGACTTTTACTACCCATGCATAAAGTGGTTAAGTTTTCTTGAAACGCACTTGTATTCTCTCAGAAATCTACACCATAAACTTCATTAAAGCAGCGTTTTGCTTTTTGTTTCTGGAATTATCATCCAGAATTAACTTTAAATTATTTGGTGCTGGTAAGATTGGCTAAACAGTTATGATGACCAAAACAGAGTAACAGTTTTAATTGAGAAATATTGTTTTTACTAAAAGTTGTGAAATTGAACAACCAAGAATCATTTACAGAAAAGCTTAAAATAAATCAACATGACAAGTAGAAACACTTTCAGTTTAAGAACAAATGCAGATAACTTTATTAACAGTACTTGAGAATTTTTAGAACTAATCTATCTTTTCTTCAAAAATCTGACAAAGCAGCTAGAAGTTGTCAACATTTCTTAGCAAACTGCCTTTATGGTCACCTTTAAGAGAGCATTTTAAAATGTTTTCAATGAAGTTTGAACTCTGTAGTTACAACAAAGCTCTCTTTTTAACAATGCACCAAAAACAGTCGTTTTCTTTGCCTTATCTGTTCTCAACCCGTTTCCATACTCTTCTAATGTATTCTTCTTCAAGACTGCGTCTTAACGAGTATTTTGTGCAGAATATGCGGCTTAATCAGAAATCATTTTATTACTGAAACCACACCTGCAGTCAACTGGTTAAGCTATTTTGCTGTTTCGATGAAGCTGTTTTGCAGCATTGCAAACAATATTGAAAAAATTTGCTAAGAGTTTCATAGTATTATGCTGTATGATAGAGACCAGAATTATAGTTTGCTTGTTATGCTAGTCATGTTGCTTCCAAATTCTGATACCTTTTTATTCATTCTGTTTAACCGTTTAATTCAAGAAAAAGAATGACTGCTTTAGCTATAATTTTTTTCTATTGGAAGGAAAGAGAGAGAAAGATTGAAAGTCACTGCCAAAGGTGAGAGCTTGAAGCTATTTCTCTTTTGGTCGTAATAAAAAATTTATGATAAGAAATGCCGAACAATTCCATTTGTTCAGCATTTCTTACCGTAATCTTTTTATTTACAGTTTGATTTTTTTCATTCCTGAACTCATATGTTTCCCTTGCAGTTTACTTGCTTGGTTTAAAGTTAAAATAGTTATAAACATTTATAAGTCATATTTTCTTACTAGTAAAAAGGCGTTTTGTTCAAATCAGTTAGAACTACTTCTAATTTATAGCTACGTTTTCGCACTAAGAAGGAGCCAGTTACGAAAAAAAAGAAAGATTTATAAAAAATCAAATTTCTGCAAACAGAATCGCATAGGCTGATATCGCTTAGAAGAAGAAGCATAAAGCATGTTTGATTATAATGCAAAAGTTTTGTTTTTTTTCTAATTTTTGCGTTTAAGATTTTTTTTAATCTCGAAAAACTCATAAATTTGTTTAAGCTAAATTTGAATTTGAATAAGGTGCTGTTCAAGTTTTTTGTTATTTTTTGACTAGAATAATAATTAACTTTACAATTGTAATTATTGCAGTTACTGTTTCTTCAGACAATCCTACCTTTAAAATCTCAATTAAAGCGATAAATTTTCGTTGGAGAAAGTTTTTTGAAGCTATATTATCTACAACTATAAAACCTTATCAAAGTCTTTATTTAAAAACATCCTTGAAAGAGGGTAGGTTCTGAGTTCCATAGAATCAGTCACTCCCGACAGAAATCAGACAAATTTAAAAACATTTTTACTCTAGTTTTTATTGATTTTTGTGTTTTTTCTTAATTGAAATCAAAGCAAAAAGATGCTTAAAACTTACTTATTACCTTTTTTCTATCTGTCGAAAAATACTTTTAAAAATTTCTTTCAAGAATTAGCACTTTGCAAGATGAAATAATCTGTTTAGAAAAGGTAATTCTAGCTCTAAAGATAGAATAACAATATAGCAAAATTTCAGTTTACAGAACAATGCCAAAAAATTTTTTTTTTATAAGATAGATTGAAAGACTTAAACTGACGACGAGTTGGCAAAAAATGCAAAGCAATCACTGGAGGTTCACTGTCGACGAACTACATTTAACTGGCAGTGACTAAAGATTTTAAGCTTACTATCTAAACAGGAAAGCGTTCAAACTAGAAAACAATATGGATACTATGAAAACATGTCATTAAGTATAAACTTATTAAAAAATAGATAAAATTATTATATAACATCTTACCTGGCTTTAAAAACCATATTATAAAGCTTGCCTAAAATGTAAACAAAAATAAGTGTTGCAGAAAATGCAAATATCAAATGCAGCTTAAACGATCTGCAAATACGAGATTTGAAGTGACGAGGTACAAAAAAAAATGATAAGTCAGTTTAAGATTTAGGTGATTGTCGAGTTAAATGAATAACTAAAGCATAAGAGAAAACGGAGGGGAGAGCAATTTGTGAGCACTGTAGTTTTGTCTAAGTTTGTTAGTATTTGTTCATTATAACCCTTTATCTTTTTTGACCTTCTTGTTTTTTTTTTTCTTTTTTTTTTTTTTTTTTTTTT